GAATCAGAACAGTGGTTCGGCCTTTTTTTCAATTATTTTTTTTTTAATGTCCGGGTCGGGCCAGGCCGGAATTGCCGGTTCACCGAAGTATGCTCCGGTGGATGAAATGTATGGGTGAAAAATATGAAAACGACATCTCTTGATAAGTGGGTGGTGCTTGAAAGAACTACTGTTAGTCATATGTAATTAGACATGCTCAACCATTTTCACAGTGTCAAGTAGGGGTGAACAACAGTGTAATTCGGTGAAAAACTAAACCCAATCGCCCAAAAAAAAAAAAAAGAGAAAAACGCACCACACTGCAACTTAGACAAAAATTGAACTGAAATTGAACAATATTTTTTTACGCTAAAATGATTTAAATGCATTGAAATGCACACTTTGGCTCGGTTTTTTGTTTTATTTCATTTTTTTATATACAATTTATTCAATCTAGTGCGATTCAGTGCAAAACTGCACAGAAGTAGACCAAATCGAAAAATGAACTTATGAACAGTATAACCGCATCGCAGCGCAATGTAGAAAAAAAAAAACTGAATCGAACTGCACCTATACATGATTTGGCTTGGTTTTTCGATTTCGTGACTTTCGTCTCGATATATGCTCGGACCTAGTTACAGACAATTGGCAAGCCTTGCTAGAATAGACTATTTTCGTAGTTACAGGCAAACATCTAAGAAAAATTCAATGGACTTTCTACTGTCAGACCATGTATATTTCTATATACGTACACACACATATGAGTATATGTTGATCCAACGATATATAATACGCGAGCACACTTTGTTAAAGCTCGAAATATAGAATTTTGTGTAATTTGTAGCTTAACTTGGTTCGAGTAGGACTTGTTAAGGCTCGAACTCCACTCGTTAACACTAATGATAAATAAGCCACCGAGCTCGAGCTCATCTATCTGTTCGTTTGTTAATGCTCGGCTCAGTTAAACAAAGGTTAGAAATTGAGCTCGAGTATCGGAGCTCAAATTCGACTCGACTCAGTTTTCATCTTTATAAACAATGGTCAATCTTGATACTTCTTATAGAGTAAGAAAATTGAGCTGGATGCCAATATTAATAGGCCGAGAACCACTCCTCTGTCGAGACGGCCCAAAATATGAGCCACTACTCACGCAGCCCAGCCCAAATATCTTCTACAGTTGACGCACAAGACCATTGTGTAGTCCTCCTCCCATTCCTCTGAGCTTCAGACGGAGTCCAATGGCGGAGCGAGAGAGACACGAAATAGTTTTTTCCCGCCTGAAAAATCCTTCAAAATCAAAAGACTAGAAAGAAAACACACACTCAATACACGCGCGCGCGCGCACACACACACACACACACATCAAGCAATTTGTGTGATATCATCAGTCCTTTCAGATGGCTCTTCTCCTCCATCATCTTTTCGGGTGAGCAAAAACTCGACGAACATGTGTATCAACTACTTCGTATCTGTAGTTTCTGCGTGTTCTTCGTGCTTTTTTCAGCTTTTGAGAGTATTGATTGGACGGGTGTATGCTTGATGTTTGAATTACTGTATTTTTGGGATGTTATAGCTTAGCCGAGCTTGGATCTAGGGTTATACAACGATAAGCTTAGTCTGTCTATTTCAATTGCACATCCCTATTTTTGCTCCACATTTATCAAAGGCTAATTTGGTTGTTGCCTTTTCTACGAGGCAATTCGCCTGTTACAATGTTCGTTTTATTCGTCATTTTATTTTTTATTTTTTTTAAAATTTAATTAGTTGCTGCTGCCTTGTTGGATAATATTGGAAGGTTTGATTTTTCGAGCTTCAGATGGTGCTGGTAATGGTAATGGTAATGGTAATTCCAGAGGGATTTGATTGGTAAATATGTTTGACATTATAAAGAAAACCATTCTGGATGCTGGCTTCAGCTTAATCAACGAGATCGAGCTTCAATTAGATGAGAACATGGGAAAGAGTGTTTTCATAGAGCATTCTTCCTGGAGGTTTTTCTCAAGGCTTGTTCGATACATGTCAAAGGTATTTTGCGCTCGATATGTAGTTGATTCGGTTCGAATTGTTTGGATGAAATGGGTTTTGTAAGTTTGAAGTTGCTCTTCTGGATTTTGTTGTTTAATCGTGTCCATGGTGACAGCCCGTAGTAAGGTGTGATCTGCATACAAAAGTTTCTTGTAGTATCTATTCTTCTATGAATTATCGTGTGCATAGTATCAAATTTTCTTGATTAAACCTCGAGCAATGACCTCTAACTAGATAAACAACATTTATGAGAGATTCTTTTTTCTTCTTTTTCCTTTTGTAAGGGGCCAGAGCTATTAATGGTTCTGGAGAAGGCAAATGCCATAGCTGATTTGCGTGCTTTAAATGGGCTCACTGATGCAAGAAAGCTAATAAGGTGACTCATCCAAGAAGGTTAGTTACATTGCGTGGTCGTCACCACTTATTAGGTTATGTAATTGTATTGTTCCAATTTATGGCTAAGTTTTATATTGATTTTTTTCCTTCTTCAATTTTAGATCTTTGCGTGGGACTGACATAGAAATTTGGATTCGCCACAATCTGCTGATGGAGAATACCATTTTTCTTTGAGAAGTCACCTTCAGGTCGTCCTTTTGCTGATCATGACTCTTCTTAATGTTTTTTAAATTTCACGATTTATAATACTTGCTTGTTGTCGAGTTGTGCAAGCTTTACCTTAATGATTTGTTAGCCATCCTTTGAAAAGCTAGACTCAGCCGAGCGGGTTTTTATTTCATTTTTTATTTTTAATTTCTATTTTCTCTTTTAAAATACCAAGGAAATTTGAAGACATTGACTGTTGGCAATTTTGTAACCTGGCCATATTTGTTGGTTGCAGAATGCTTGTGGACTTTGTGCTTTGTCTTCAGTTTGTTCGCATGATGAGAGGGATGAGTTTTACTTCATTTGAATTAGATTTTGATGGAAATGCCTGAGGATCAGTCACGAAATTCATGCAGATTTGATATTTCGCGACATCTAATATAGCGAACAATGCAAAAGTGCATCCAAATTTACCTCTATTGTCAGCGAACAGGTATACAATTCCAAAATATTTCAGTAATTATTGTTATATCCTGTTTATATCATTAAAAAACATATTTTTAAATTACAAATGAGATCTAAAGAATGAAATTACAAAATTTTCATCATAACCGCCAATCTGTTTAAAAACAAAAGTAGCTCTACATTTCTGGTTGGATCCATTGCTTCAAAAATGATGAGGATCTGGAGTGCAATTGTTTGCCGACACTAGGAAATGATGTCGTCACATAACTAAGGAAAACCACCTGCAATTGTTGAAAAATTAAATAACATGATTTATATTTAAATATTGCACTAACATACGAAAAGGTTATTCATAATAAGTATACATGCATTAGTAGAATGCATCCCGTGATGTATAAATTTTTAGAGCATTGCACTGTCGTGCACCTATATCGAGTCTTTTCAGTATTATCTCAGCCTAATTATGTTCTTGCACTTCATTTAAATCAACCAAAGTCTGGAAATTCAAAATCTAGAGGTGTATACTTAACCCGTGTTTAAACCGTAGTAGCATCAAATAAGGAACAACGAAATTAGTCTCGGTAGTCTTGCATTGTTGCACCATAGCAATAAGTTAAGTGCACCCATTGAATTTTCTTTGTCCGTCAAAAAACAAATTTTGGTACAAACGGTAACCTTCCGAGCTCTTACGCTAAAGAGTTTTTTCAAGGTTTTTGATCTATCATCCCTGCACTTGACAAATCGAAGTGTGTCTTAACAACATGCGAAGATAAAGGAATCGAGATACCTCCAACCATAATACTTCAAGTAAACCCGTCGTAATTCTTAATCAACATAGTGACGAACTTGGACTCAATCTACGTTATATTCATTCGGGCATATGCCCCAAATCCAACCTTGTCAATATCATGCCGTTGGGCCATAACAAGCTATTATTGGCGCTACAGTTGCTTGCGCTACCTAAAGTCAAAGGTAATTTTTTCTTAACTTCTAGTAACATTTTATATTTTGTGTTGCATTAACTGACATATTGTAACACTTTGAAGTAACATAAACTTGATGTTGCATAATGTAACACTCTATTTGCAGCACTTTTAATTAAAACGCAACATTTTGTTTCATAGTTATACCAGTTTAATTTTTATTTTGTGTTAATTTTTAAGTAGTAATGTAACACTTTTATCTTTCGACAATATTTAATTATTATTTTTAAAACAATTTTGAATGTTAAATACAACTTTAAATCATTTCTAATAGAACGAATACGACAAATAAACATTAAAATAAATTTGATTTATTAATTCTATAATATAACAATGTACATGAAAGACTTACTAGAATACTATCTACCGTTGAAAATCTAAAACAAGAACATGTACACCACATGTAATGGTTCATGGAATTATAATAAGTTTGTATCTTGATTATAATTATCTTCACTGCCGCCCTGAACTTCATACTCAATGTTCCCACCGATATCTGAATTAAGTAATAAATGGATGTGAAGTTGCTCCATCATCTACTCTGTTCTGTCTGCAACTATTTATTATTGAATAAGAATTTATGAAAGTGAGTAAGTAGGTCGTATTGACGAAAAACATATAAATGAACACTAAATGAAAAAATGTATATAGATTTCTCATAACATATATATGACTTTATGTGCATAGACATATCTATTTTTATAGTTGTAGAACTTTATTCGCACTAATCAAACTACTCTAAAAGGCAAGTGTTAGCAATCAAAAGTAAAGACATCTGTACTTATTGCACTTGTCTAAAACTTATAATCAAAATATTAATTGAAAAATAGATAGGTACAAATATTTTTACTTTTGATTGCTAACACTTGCCTTTTAGAGTAGTTTGATCATGCGAATAAAGTTTTACAACTATAAAAATAGATATGTCTATGCACATAAAGTCATATATATGTTATGAGAAATCTATATACATTTTTCATTTGGTGTTCATTTATATGTTTTTCGTCAATACGACCTACTACTCACTTTGATAAATTCTTATTCAATATTAATACGACCTACTTACTCACTTTGATAAATTCTTATTCAATAGTGAATAGTTGCAGACAGAGTAGATGATGGAGCAACCTCACATCCATTACTTAATTCAGACATTAGTGGAAACATTGAAGTATGAAGTTCAGGGCGGCAGTGAAGATAATTATTATCAAGATACATAGACTTATTATAATTCCATGAACCCTTACAGTACATATTCTTGTTTTAGATTTTCGATTGTAGATAGTATTCTAGTAAGTCTTTCATGTACATTGCTATATTATAGATTTAATAAATCAAATTTAATTTAATGTTTATTTGTTCTATTAGAAATGATTTAAAGTTGTATTGAGCATTCAAAATTGTTTTAGAAATAATAATTAAATATGGTCGAAAGATAAAAATGTTACATTACTACTTGAAAAGTAATACAAAATAAAAATTAAAGTGATATAACTATGAAACAAAGTGTTGCGTTTTAATTAAAAGTGCTGCAAATAGAGTGCTGTTATATACAACATCAAGTTTATGTTACTTCAAAGTGTTACATTATGTTAGTAAATGCAACACATAATATATATGTTACTAAAAGTTACAAAAAAAATTACCTTTGACTTTAGGTAGCGCAAACAATTGTAGCGCCAATAATTATATTACATATTGTTTATAATAACATTTTATAGCTTTTACACCTCAACCCCTTTTAATAAGGGAAGTATTGCCCGGAATGTCCTGCCCAAGTGCCTGCAGTCAGCCGGGCAGACTGCCTGGATCCTTAATGCTTATTCATATCCTAATCACTTCTTAGTCAGATCATAGTCATCATAAGATTCCATCTTATCCTCTCAAGATTCATCATTAACTCTTATGCCCATTGAATGATGAGATATAGTCTCCTTAGAAGTAGGCCTCGAGCTGCAAGGTGAGTGAAGCTGACCTCAAGCTGCGAGAAGAATGAAGTCGATCTCGAGACGGGGAAGGTCGACTCGAATTTTCCATAGCGATGAGTGAAGCTACCATCGTCGTCTCGCTAGTCGCTCTCGGGACTTCCTCGAAGCCCTTGAGTCGCTCATCTTTGCCAGTATCAAGTTATGAGGTTCTATCCACTCCCAAGGTCATTATTGAATAAGTCGTTGTCGAGGATCTTGAGTGTTATATATGTGGCACGGGCCGACAAGCCTAACTCGAGTCGTCATGTGATAGCTCGACTTAAAGTTCGGTCGAGCTATCAACACAAGTATGACTATATCATAATGTGTTTTAATTTTTTATTATATAATAGTTATTACTAAAACTAACCAATTATAATCCGCACAAAATGATATATGGAAGTTCAATAAGTATAAAACAATATATTGCAAAAAAAATTCTTAAACTTTTATTGTGCATCTCATTAAGCATTTTTAATAAGCTAATTGGCTTTAGTGGTATAATCAAACCTCTTAAAATTGAGTAATAATAATAATAATTTTAATAATAATAATAATAATAGGTCATGGTCCCTCAAATTTATAATAATTACATTACTCATTTTGTATCATGCAATCAATATAATGATGAAGTGAACAAAATTTTTACAATATGATACTATTATCTAATTTATAATTGTAATATTATATACATATAACATTTTAAAATATGATACTATTTTTTTTTTTCCAAAACGATAGATATATTATACATCGAAATGCACAAATGTGCGAATACACAGCAGCCAACGACTAAATACACAACAGCCAATAACTGAAAAAGTTGGAGGACAGGTCAGAAGACCGCCTAGAATCCCGACTAGCAATGCTAGAATAAAGCTCGCAACTAAACTAACCAACTAAAACAACGAAAACAACTAAAAACAACTAAAAAAGACCCCAACAGGATAATAGCCGATTGTCAGACCCCAACACGGTAATAAAGTTGACACACGGCACACAGGTGCCAACGGCGCAAACAAAAAACACAGGACATGGGCACACAGGCAAAACGCCCAAACCAAAATACAAACCTACCGCATAACAAGCAAAACAAATTAAAGAAAAAAAACACACACAAGGCCCTTCCACGGCAAATCAGCCCGATCCTAACCAGCGGAGAACAATCGATTTCAGAAATTAGTCTATGTCCAAAGACGGCTCCCGAAACTGCCACAAGGCCTATACAAGAAGTCGAACCCGAACACAAACCTAACTCCAAAACAACCCACCTCAACCGGAGGAGCAATCGAACCCGCTCCCACTCTAGCACTTCCCGAGCCCGACTAACACCACTAGTGCTGTTAAATTAAATGAGCCTGGCTCAGCTCGACTCGAGCTCGGCTCGTTAAGGCTCGGTTTGGCTCGAGTTCGAAGCCTTAACGAGCCGAGTTCGAGCTCATTTAAAGCTCGTTTGGTTAACGAGCCAAGCTCGGCTCGGCTCGATAAAGCTTGTTAAGGCTCGAAAAGTGAAATTTATGTAATTTTTGTAGTTCGACTCGTTAAAGTTCGAGATCGTCTCGTTAAGGCTCGAGCTTGAGGCCTTGACGAGCCGAGCTCGAGCTCGATTTTTGGCTCGTTTACGAGCTCGGCTCGGCTCGGCTCGTTAAGAGCTCGAGCTCGAGCTCAAACACCTTAAGCTCGAGCTCGACTCGGCTCGTTTACAGCCCTAAACACCACTAGCCGAGCTAAGGACGCCAGAGCTCGTCGTCTAACACCACTAGCCGGAAGGGGGAGGGTTCGAGCCCTCAGCCTCTACTCACAAGCAGAGCTCCACCCCACCTCAGAACTTACAAACTCATCAACATCACCGCACACCACCGGCACCGACACCTGATCGAGAGAATCCCGAACGGGGCGTCACTGGAAAAAGGGAACAGCCCGAAGTCCTCCATTCGCACAGATACATAGAC